AAATTAAAACTTAAAGATAATTTAAATCGTAGAAAAAGAATCGTGCGTTTTCTTGGATGCCTAACCTCACTTTTTGTTTTATATTTAATTTTACAATAATTTAATGAAAAATATTAAACATTAACAGTAAAACAAACAAATTAGTGCGTATTATAAATAAATTAAACCATTTTAGTCGTTAATTTCTTAGAAAAGGATTAATTTGTGAAAAAATACCCCTAGCGAGAAAAAATCGAACTAATTACTTGCCTCATAAAAATTTTTATCAGCCTAGGCCATAACAAGGTATTTCTTTATCGAATGTTGAAAACATTAAAGTTTAAATTATAGACCGCGTGGAGATAAACCATATTACATATTTGTAAATAATTATTAAAAAATATATAAAACATTTATCATACCAATTAGCCACTCATCATTCCACTGCCCTGAAACATATTGCTCGTGCAACATATTTCTTACCAAACTTAATGCCCAAATTCCAGAATCATGAGTTGAGCCTGGAAATCTGGCATTGCAGTTTAGAATTCTCAACTCATGGTCACAAATCTAAAAAAAATAAAGTTAGTATTATTGCAAATTAAATATTAATAAAATTATTGCTAAATACCATTTGAACATTAAGGCTGTAATACCCCTTTCTATTATAGTAGGCTATCCCAGGCCTTACAGGGTCTTCAGTAGCAGGAGCCACAATTGCCACATGGGTGCAATCAATGGCACCTATCACCCCCGGAAGATTAAACATTGTTTCAAACCTACAAATTACAAACAACACATAAATAATTAAGTTTATATTATTAGAAAGGGTGTACTTACCCTTGCTTAATTTGATCTCTTGCAGGACCAGCAGGAGGAAACTGAATGTGGTCCTGCAGTAAATGCTGAAACGCACTAGTTTCCTTTAAAATTTTACAGAAGGTGGAAACTTCAAAGGGAAAAAGGAAGTTGTCAGAAATGGATTTCTGGTAACTTCCTTGACCAAAAAAATTTAAAGTAGATAGCACCTAAAACAAATGCATAGATATTTATAATCTACCTAAAATAAACATACAGGGTGTCCATTAATTAATGATAAACATCAAAACCAGATTCTGTATGTAAAAATAATGAGATTTAAAATTATTTACCTATGTTCAAAAGTTGATTATAACCAAGATGCAGGGTGTTTTTAAATAACTTTGGAAAAAACCGACGTTTTTGCACAAAAATTGGTATTTTTCAGAGAGGATTTTCTAAAAAAACGGATTAGTTTTTAGAGGGCGCTGTATGCAAAACATTGTATATGTTTAAAGTAAAATAAAGTTTTTCCTTTGCCTATTTTTTAAAATTGTTAATTTAGGTAATTCAGGTTTTACCAATAAAGGACAATAGAATTTTGTATTATGTATGTATGTAAACAAGTTTTGACATTTTAAATTCATGAAGCAACCTGAAAAAGTAAAAAATAGGCTATATGCAATGTGTTGCAGACTGCTCTCTTTAAAATCTACATTAAGTTTTTTAGGAAATTTAAAATTTCTGCTCTGAAATATACCCAATTACCAAACTTTTTGCCAAAAAACATTTGTTTTTTAAAAACAAACATTTCACTAGGTCACCGTATATGCTGTATAAACTTGTCGGTCTGTGGGTTAAATCCATATCAATGGTTAAATTGTGGGAGTAATACTTTTACCTAAAGAATCATTTTGCTGTATACCATTAATTGGAGGACACCCTGTATATTTTTAAATATTATTTTAGAATGGATTATTTTATTATTATTGCATTTTGCAATATAAATTATTAATACTTCAATAATTTACCTTTAGTTCAACAGAAATTGCAGTTTTCCGTTGCCCCTGCGTTAAAAATGGTTCTAATTTGAAAATTATTTGTTCTGCAACAAATTTAGTTAGGTACCCTAGAATATCGCAGAAACATTTTATTCTCCAAATTAAAAGGATTGCTGTCATCACGCAGCCTTCGGCGTTGCAAATTAAGTTCATGACTAAAAATATAAAAATTCATAATTAATATTACTTCGAGTGTAATTTATATAAATCGCACTTTCAGTAAAATTGTAGCGTACCTTAAAATAATTAGTTTGGAGAAATTAAATTGCAAAGACTCGAATTTGCTTATTTTAATTTGTTTATTGTTATACTTATGTATATGGAGAACCTATTAAAACTATTTAAATAGGTAAACAAATTCCAGTTTTTACATTTTAATTATACCAAACTAGGTACTAATTTAAGGTTATGCCACTATTTTCCTGGGAGTACGAAACATTTTCAATGTATTTACCAAATTAATCAATTATTACTTACCTTTGATTTTCACCTTCTATCATTTCCTCGATTTCTTCCACAATTAGTTGCTCGATTTCATTTCCCAAATCGTTCATTTTTGAGTATAGCAATAATTAATTAACTATAAATAAACCACAATCCGTAAAATAAACGTTTTATCAAATCTATGATCAACAAAAGATAGGTTATAAACATGCCGCAAAGAACACGAGAGAGGTCAGGGTAACCAACCCTTCATAGAAAAAGAATATACTTCCTTTCCGATCGTGGCGCTAAATTCAAATTTAACATGTTTTAATTAAATTTTTAACGGGATCTCTGAAGCAGTCGTTTAAATTTCGAGGTTAGAATATGTTAAAATTGATTTATGAGTCATGGTTGCTTGGATATCATAAAGATAAACAGCCAAAAACACGTAGTGGGGGAAACAAGACTACATTAAATGAAACGTATCAGCTTGTCAGGTAATAAAATGCAAACCAATACTTATTTCTTTTCTGGTGATATTTTTAACATAACCAGTTAACAGGAAAGTTACATCAATGGGCCCACTATATAGGTAAAAATGGCACCAGGTGGAGAAAAAATTATTTTAATAGAAACGTGAGAACCAGAGCTGAGAATATTATCAGTCATTTTAAAATAAAAAGTCCTCTGGAGTGTTTTCTTCTTTTCATCAATGAAGAAATGATAGGCGATATGGTAAGGTGGACGAACCAAAGGATTGAGGAAAAAACAAAAGGATGGGAGGAGTCCTCTTATTATCAGCCAACAAGTAATATAGAACTAAAAGCTCTAATTGGTCTGCTCTATTTGGCAGGAGTATTCAGGAATAACCATCGCCTGACAAAAGATACAGGATTTGAGATATTCCGAGTCACTATGGCTCAAAGGCGGTTCGAATTTCTGGTTACATGTTTGCGATTTGACAATAAAGAAAATCGTGCACAAAGGCGCGAAATTGACAAACTGGCGGCCTATACGCCAGGCCAATATTTGACTATAGACGAAAAGTTAGAGGCATTTAGAGGTAAATGCTCATTTGAGCAGTACATGCCAAATAAACCTGCCAGATACGGCATCAAGGTTCAAGCTCTGGTAGATATCTCCGGAAAATCATTTAAATGTTTGTGTGTTAGTGGCGAAGGTATGTACATTACTATTTTTTTATTAAAAAAAAATCATTTTTAATAAAACGATTAATTTTTATATTTTGGGTTTTAAAATAGTATATTGTGTAACAAGTGAAGAAAATAGTCAATTATAAACGAGCATTTGTTTGGCACGCGAGCGTAGCGATCGGGGCAAGAATGCGAGTTTATAATTGACTATTCTTGTACATATTATTTTGTCCCACAGATTTAATGAACATTCTTTTGCTTTCGTCTGATCCCTAAATTTGTATGGACAAAAAGATTCCTAACATTATAGTTTTGAAGGAATAGAAAAATATCTATAAAAAGGAAATCTTAACAATGAATAACTCCTTCTTGCAAGAATCGGAAATTTCATTAGGCGTAGATGAAACCGACTTTAAATTATCGTCTGACAAAAGCAGTAAATAAAAAAAAATTGTTTAATTTCTGTTTAGTATTTTTATATTTAATTTTATTTTACACCTTGCATATCGCAAAAGATTTTCATGTTGAAAAAATACTTTTTATTTCAAAAATATTATGTTTTTATTGAGTTTTAAAATTATTATTTGTAAACAATAATATGTAAACAATTTTGATAATTTTTAAAGATTTGTTATATTTACCTTAATTAGAAAATAATATGGTTATATTTAACAAATGATAGGTAAAGTAAAAATTTATCCATATAATCTCAAGACGGTTTTTATTATAATCTTTTTGTTTAATATTATTTGTTTTATTTGTTACATTTTTAATTTATTTCATTTTAATTTTATATATTTTTATACCTAATTGATAGGTCCCTAATTAAAAATTTAATTTTTTAATTTTTCTTTTTATCTGTAATATGTAATTTTGTTTATTCCAAAAATTATTCATACTAATAATTTATTAGTTGTTCTGAAATAATTTTTTTTCTGGCTTGCGTTCAAAAACCATTTTTGTTTTGTATTAGAAATACTTTTAAAAATTAAAGGCTCATTATTTTTAAAATAGTCTTTTCATTTCATGTATTCATTTAATATTTAAAATTTAATAATTATTTGTTTAAGTACTTGATATTTCTTTGAATTATCTTAATTAGAACCCATTTAAAAAATAATAAAGCAAATAACAAGAGTCGCACTTTTAGTACATAGTTCAATATTAAAAGAGTTCACTAAAGCATACATACATTTTATTCAGTTTAGTTAAAAATATAAAACTATTTTTCATTTAAAGCTAAAAATTTATAAATATATACTTATTTCAGTGTTTCAGAAAATAATAGTGCACCTACATCACTTGTTAAACATTTTTTACTTAAACTGAACTATTTATTTTCAGGTTTAAAAAGTTCGCCAATAAAACCTATTGTTCCTGAAGATAATTGTCGTTTAATGAATTCGTCAGATTTAATATATAATATATTTTCCCAGAAACATCACTTTTTGAAAATAACGATGAATTATTAAAAAAACATGTCCATTAATGTCTTTTATGCTCTTTTTAACAAAACTACTACTAAGAATCCTGGACCTAGTATAAACCGCAATAAAACTAGTGCCGATAATTTGCAAAATAACTATCCAGGGTCTAGTTTAAACCATAAAGAATCTAGTGCTGATAACTTGCAGAACCCTAATCCTAAACCAAGTATAAGCCATATCGCACAAGACTTATATTTATCGTCGGATACTGACTATGATACCAACGACCCTGACTTTTAAATAACCGATAATAAAACCAATATGCAAAAGCAAAAAAGAAAGAAGATGTTAAAATTTGCAAGGTAGAGCAATGGAAGACGACAGGACACTGATAACGACAGGAAGTATAACACTAGAAGTAAATAATACAAATAAGCGATGAAACAAGAAAACACATATTTTAAAACTATTGGTTAATGGGCGATGTCAACCGTCAACGAGACTTTATATCAAAGTACGTAGCCATGAACATGAAGTTGTCGACTATAATACGTCGAAGTAAACCAACTTATTTAAAATAAGTTATTTTGCAAAATATTAATAACAATAACCACTACATTGTCAAATTGTATTTTGTATTTCAATGTTTTAATATTTATTGTTAGAATTTACCTAATTTCAGTGAAATTACATACGTGCCATCGTTGATTAAACTCTTTAGTTGAAAAAAGGATTTTGTAATATTTTGAAGGTTAATGTTAGTTTTATGAGGAAAACTAAAATAAATAGTAGACGATTTTAACATTTTTTCTAGCGAAAAAAACCCACAATAATTGACAAATCATTAAGCAGATTTAAATGTAAGGTTTGTAATTTTGTATTTAAAAAGAAATGAAACCTATTAAGGTATATTAAAAGTCAACATCAAGAAGGCGAAATTGAGCACAAATATCCAATAATCATTATAAATGATGCATTTGTAGATACAAATTTTGAAAAAACAACAAAAATGGAATGAGAAAATTGAATCGAAAACAAGCGATCTCGATTCAGATGCCGAATATATACTAGTAGAGCATGATAGTGAATCAGAAATTGAAGCATAGGATGAGGATTTAGAAAATGTAGATACAGTAAGTTTTAACTATTTCCATGGTAAAAATCGCTTCAAGTGATCCCAAAATACTGCAGTACCTAAACATACGCAAACACTGTTTTTAAATGTTCAGTCCAACCACATACAAGTCTGATCCTGAGGAAGTTTGGCAGCTTTTTTTTTGACAACAATATTCTAAATATTATTCTTTGTTCAAAAATGGCGCTGATAAATCTGATCTTCGAGATTTAGATCTTATAGAACTAAAAGCATTTTTGAGATTATTGATACTAACCTTAATTTTCCAATCGAACCACAAAGATTTCAAATCTATTTTTGTAACAAATCGATGTTGAAGATATATTTTTAGATGTGTGACAAATGCTAATAGATTTTTAATAATTCTTACAAGTCTCAGATTTGATAACTATCAATTTGTATATATTTTTGGTTCAAATGTCTGTATAAATGATGCTAGTTGCGTTCCGTGGTAGATGCAGATTTAAAATGTACATGCCAGCCAAGCCTTCTTAGTACGGACTTAGGATTATGGCGTTAACAGATGCTTTTAAATGCATATACAGGGTGTCCGGGAAAAGGAGGTCAATCCGTTAACCATATATTCCTTGAGTTAAAACAATAAGACTTTCATAATACCATTTTTCAATTTAGGCCTTCATGTTCGATATACAGGGCGACAAAGTTTGAAATTAAAAACTGATTTTTTTTAATAATTCGAGTAATTGATAAGATACTAAGTTTAAATTCGGTACACTACTTCAACATAAATAGTTACATTTTTTGAGACCAACAAAACAAAAAACAATTGTCAAATAATCAAAATAGGGGGGTCCAGTACTCACTGACTCCCCCTATTTTTTAGTGCGTGCGCCAATGACTTCCAAACAGAATTTTTTCAGGTAATCATTTATTGTTGAAAATGTTTTGTCTCTTATAAAATTTTGATAAAATGATTTGTTTTAGAGATAATTTGTAAAGTATGGGTGAGTCCATGTCAAATTTTCAAAATTTAATTTTTTTTTGAAAAAATGTAGGTCATGTGATATATCATAAAAAATTTCTCTAATAGGCCTTTAAAATAAGCCATCACTCACCTTTCTACTTTTAATAGTTTACGAGATATCGCTATTTTTGTAAGTACTTGCAAGACCCAAATTTATCGGAATTTTTGATTTTCAAAAATCAATAAAACAAAAACCACCTATCGAAAAAAATTCATATTTGGGATTTTTGAGTTTTTTAGTGAGGTAAACAAATTTACCAAAAATGATCAAAATCGGAGATGGTGGGGGAAGAACCTTTGGTTGATTTGATATGGACTGACCCATACTTTACAAATTATCTCTAAAACAAATCATTTTATCAAAATTTTATAAGAGACAAAATTTTTTTAACAATAAATGATTACCTGAAAAAATACCGTTTGGAAGTCATTGGCGCACGTACTAAAAAATAGGGGGAGTCAGTGAGTACTGGACCCCCCTATTTTGATTATTTAACAATTGTTTTTTGTTTTGTTGGTCTCAAAAAATTTAACTATTTATGTTAAAGTAGTGTACCGAATTTAAACTTAATATCTTATCAATTACTCGAATTATTAAAAAAAATCAGTTTTAAATTTCAAACTTTGTCGCCCTGTATATCGAACATGAAGCTCTAAATTGAAAAATGGTATTATGAAAGTCTTATTGTTTTAACTCAAGGAATATATGGTTAACGGATTGACCTCCTTTTCCCGGACACCCTGTATATACTGCGGGAAGGACTCATTTTTTTTTTCAAAAATTAAAACGCCTGTAGGCAAAAAGTTGGGTCATAATAAAAGACGACCGCAGATTTTTTTTTTTTAATTTTTCGTTAACCCCTTCCACCTCCCCAAGCCTCTTTAAAAATCTATTAACATGGCTACGGTGCAAACTAGATGTAAAATTCGTTGAATTAACTTTGGCCAAGTCCCTTTATAAAGCCATGGAAACTCGTAAAAAACTTCTTTTTGATAATGTTGCTATTTTGAATGCAATTTTTATGGATTCACGATGTCATGTTATGTTGTCAAACGAACAAAGAACTGCTGCTGAAACCCCATAACCTTAACATCCTTCACCGATACCGATTTAGCCAATAGTGACTGCGGGTTAAGTATATATATATATATATATATATATTTATAAAAGTGGAAAACGAGATCCATGTATAGATGTCTAATACGAGATCCACCATAAAATTTTGTTTTTTTCTTGAAATACCTTTAAAAACCTTAAAATTTTAATGATAACCAAATTTAATTTTACAAATATGTCTTAATATAAATGCTTTTGGAAAACCCATTGGCATGTTTATTAAGAGATCCTAAACCCTATGTATACATCGAAAATTAGAAGGAAAGCGAGATCCGACGGTGTTGCCATATTTCGGATCTCCTTTGATCTTGATAAGAATAGTATATATAGATAATCTATTTTATGTATTATAAACTTAAAATAGAATAGGAATTAACAAGAGATACACCATTTAAAGCGCACAAAAAAGCTGTAATTTTACGAAATTATACCGTACGTTTTGAAGCAACAATTTTTGTTCCAGTAAAAATTTATTAAAAGAAAAACATCAGAAATAAATATTTTTTATTAACTAAGAAACATATATAAAATAATAATAATAAAAAGTTTAAATAATCCTGTAAAAACTGATTACATAATTTAACGGAAAAATAAACGTAAGAAATATAAAATAAAAATTATGCGGAACAGATCATATTTTAAAAAACGTCTTATAACTTTTTTGATCAAATGCTCCTCAAAATATTTTTTTCTACCCCAGCCGCTGCCCCCACAACCTAGAAACCTAATAAAAATTGCTAAAAATGGTCGATCACTCAATGTAGGTGCAACCAAGTAAGTTGTTTCAAATGAACCCGAAATTTTTTTCCGCCCCCGCCGCCGCCTCTAAAAGTCAGAAACCTAATAAAAAATGCTAACAATAGGTCGAAAATAGTCGGCCACTCTACGGCTGATCAGTGTAGGTGCGGTCAAGTGAGTTTTAATAAGTTTTAATAATAATAATAATAATAATATTTTTTAATTATTATATTTTTATATAAGTATTAAAAAAATAATTTTTGTAAACAAAATAACAAATATTAAATATTAATATATTTAAAAGTAAAAGTATTATACATAATTAAGTTTTACATTAATATTTTCTACCTTCAGTAAATTTGTATTATTCATATTTTAGGGCATTTGATAAAACTTACTTGCCCGCAGTTAGTTAGTGAGTTACACTGAGTGGACGCCATTATTTAGTATTTTTTATTAGGAAATAAATTATTTCGTGGTGCATTTGATACAACTTACTTGGATGCACCTACATTGTTTGGCCGCACTTGTTCAAAACAGTTATACTAACTCTCTAAAAATGAAATAGTCAAAACTCTACTATTTGAATTAGTACCAGCATTTTTTTTTTCAATAAATTAGTCGGTTTACTTTTAAATAGTTATTTTTTACTACGTAAATAGTTAAAGTTTGACTAATTTAAGATTAGTCACCATCTTTGACTATTTCTGAAAGTTAAAAGTAACTAATTTCTTTAATCGTTTGCGGCCAACAACAAAGTATTATTTGAATTAAATGCATATACCTAAGCTCCATGGTTAAATGACCCATTAAACAAATAAAGATGCAAACAGTTTAGCTTAAAACAGCAACACAAATAATATATTCAACTTTAAAATATTACAATATTTATTGACAAATAAAATTGATTTTTATAAGAGCGGCTGATGGCCGAATGGGTTATGACAAAAGCTTGACAAGCTTGACAAGTGACAGACCTGAGTTCAGAGCTGCAAGCTCTCAGAAAACTTAAATCGTTTTTTTGATTTAAATCGTTTTAATGACCTAAGTCATTTGGTAATAAGTCATTTCTCTAAAACTGACTTAAGACTTAAAATTTAAGTAATTTTCAAAATGATTTGTGACTTAAATATTTTTTTCAAAATAGAAAAAACTTAAGTCATTAATAAAAGGCTTAAATCAGTACATACGATTTAAGTCAGAAAAAACGATTTAAGTCAAAAAAAGATTTAAGTCTTTTTGAAAAAGATTTATGTCTTTTTAGAAAATATTTAAGTCAGATTTTTCATACATTTTTTTATAAATTTTTTACAGCGGCATTTTCTTGAACTGCCAGGGGTTCACGAGGCAGCAGATCAAAAACTCCTTTAATTTCCTACCTACAATTGCTACCGCTAGTGGATAAAAAAACCGCCGCGGTAAAATTAGCTTTTCGGAACCGTTTGACGGCTACATTAAAAAATGTCCTATCTAAAATGAATTAAAAAAAGTGGGGATTTATAATTTTGTTATTTTGTTTGCCAACATTCGTCGTGTTCGTGCGAAGTTAGGTCTAATTTTTGATTATTAGTGCAAAGTGGAAACAAACGATTAACTTGTAAGGACGAATAAATATTATAAAGACGTGTTTACATCATACAGGGTGTTTCGGTTTGTTTAAGTAAATAATTACGACAAAAAAACGTGATTGTGCGTGAATAAAAGTATTCAAACGTGATTGTGCGTGAACGTGAGTAGTCTTGAATTATTACAGTCGTGAGCAGTTGTACATCTTGAGCGGTCGTGAATCCAGAGTTTGGAACTTCCCATCATTACTCCCTTAAGGGAGGAATTTTTTTTTCTAGATGGATGTTGAACCAGCTAACAAAAGTTAACAAAACAACAAGTTATCAGTTTTTGAAATACAGCGATTTTAAGAAAAATTCTTTAACTTTTATCTATTTTAACAGAGTTTGAATCTATTACCGTTTAGAAGTTACCCATTTATGTATATAAAAAAGTAGCCTCCCTGTATGTCTACTCTACTAAAAAAGGTGGTTTAAGTTTTTATTTTTATTGTCTACTATAAACTCAAAAAATGTGTTTTAAGTTTTTATTTTATTTGTAAGTGTTCTGAAAATAAATCGTTTTAAATTCTTAACATACTATGTTAAACATAGTGGTTTATTATCATCTGTATCTACAATAGATTAATAATATCAGTATCATTAATACCATAAAATTATTATTAACATTTAAAAAAATCGTTGTATTGACTTAAGGGTAATTATTTTGATTTAAAAACATTTAAAAAATCATTTATCATCAAAAAACATTTAAAAAATCGTTGTATTGACTTAAGGGTAATTATTTTGATTTAAATCACAATTTTTGATTCAAGTCATTTTATTGACTTAACTCTGAGATCACGATTTAAATAAAAAATATAGACTTAAGTCATAAAAATGACTTACTAAAGGAATTAAGTCATAAGATGATTTAAATCAATTTAATTTGATTTAAGAATTTGCGAAAATGACTTGACTTGAAAGAAAATGATTTAATTCAAAGACTTAATACTTAAATCATTTGAACTTTATCTTAGAATTGACTTAAGATTTAAATCATTTTGATTTTAGAATTGACTTAAGACTTAAGATTTAAGTCTTTTTAAAACTTACTTGTTGCAGCTCTGCCTGAGTTCAATCCCCAGATGGGTCAAAACTTTTTTAAAATTTAAATCTACTAATTAGTGACTGTTTTTTCGCTATGACAATTAGTCAAATATGACTTAATAATTATTAGTTATTGTTGACTAATTCATTTTAAGAAAGTATGATTTTTTTAAAATATCATTATATCATAGATCTGATGTTGATTAATAACCAATTTCATGTAGATTTTATATCTAATAAATCATTATTAGTAACTCACATTCCCGCTAATTCTTTTAAATGTTAAGTTAATAGGTAATTTTTTGCCAATCGAACAATTTTTGACGTTCTAGAGTTAAACATTTTGATACACTACACTTTAAACTTAATGAAGCTTCTTACGAGAATTATAAAATTTAAAATCTAACAGACTTGTATATACTTGCTTAGATTTGTATAGCATCAAACGAGATCTGTGCGCTGTTGCAATTTTTTGGATAGCGTATTCCTTAATTTCGAAAATACAGGTTATATACAAAAACGATTGCAGCGCCTCTACGTTAATAACGACGAACTATTTTTACATACAAAATAGGTAAAAATACGGAAAGTCAGATCCGGCGGTTTTTGGTACTAAGCTCATGAGCGTACCCTAAATACTTAAAATAATTGACCCGTTCGTTGCGAGATCCGGCCTTTGGATCTCAGGATCTCATATTCCGCAAGTTTAACCATATACGGATCTCGTATTCCGCGGTCAGACATCTATATATATATATATATATATATATATATATATTGGCCGATGCAATAGAAAAAATATGATAATTGCAAGACACTAAACAGCAAAGTGCGAAACAATTTATGTGAAATTATCGTTACTTATTTTTTAAATAAGTCTTGCAAATTAACAAATGAAGCTCTTTCTGTGATTGCCGACAAGCTTATACAAATATTCCAGACAGAAAAAACCATATATTTTGTTAATGCTATTCCCAAAAAAAAATCGCGACTAAACAGGCCCGAGGTAGCCAAAGGAAAATTGGTAGACAAACATAGAAACAAACTCACCGCTATCAGAAGAGCTCAACAATTTGAAGCAGTACGGGCTCCAAGCCCTGACTTACAGAATGAAGGTATGAAATAAATCCAAGTAAAAAATTAAAATCTAGACTTTTGTCACAATTACGCAAAGTGCTATAGACAGTAAAATATGGTTGCAAACTAATCTGGAGCCAGTCAATGACATCCTGCACCTCTGGAAAAATTCTTTTTCTATTAGAAAAAATTCAATTCAGCGACAGAAAAGTCTTTCGAGAAAAACGGCAATTTGTGAAGAACATATTCAACTTACAGACTTGCTTAAATAGACTTTTTTGAAGATAATTTCATCTTGTATAAATATTTTAGAACCGAAATTCTAAAAAAATATTCTTACTGTACGAGCTGAAGAAGAAAAGAATAAAACATTGTTTTTTAATGGTTTTTAAATGCAAATATTTAAAAATTGAATAGCAACGGTTTAAAATAAAGATTAAGAGCTTTGTAATAGCTCAAAATTTTTGTTTTCTGACCGGTTACAAGATTTTCAGGTGGGAAAAAATGTTTCTCTAAAATGAAGCACTTTAATGTTAATGTACATTAGGGTGTTTCAAAAAAATTAACAATTATTTTTTTTCCAATGGTGTTGAAAAATTAATAGTACATTAAAAAACAAAAATGTTGGCGCCTATTTGAGCCCTTAATATTAATATTAAGGTTTGCCTCAATTCATTTTTTGTTTTTCCATTTCAATAACACGGAAATTTTTATTTTTTTAATTTTGAATTCTTATAACTTTGGAATGGTTTGTTTTCGCAACACCCAAGCGAGAGGAGTTAAAGACAATTTCACGCTCTACAAAAAACATTTGAAGGTAAAAGTTCTTCAGATCAACCGTTTCATCGACTTTTACTTGATGAAACTCCATGTTAATAATAGATATCAATGGATTTTTTTAAATTTAAGTCATCAACCCTAAGTAGTCTTTCTTGCAAACTTGGGTCTGCAATGCCTAAAACGACTCTGTCTCTCAGCATTCCATCAAGAAGTGTTTCAAATTCACAAGTTTGAGATAACTTTCTAATATCAGTCAAAAAATTTTCAAATGACTCACCATCTAATTGTTGTCTTTTATAAAATTTAAACCTTTCATAGACAATATTTTTCTTTGGATTACAATAAGCTTCAAAGGCTTCCATAACATTTGTTTCTTTTACTCTATCTTCTTCTTTAATATCTAGAGTATTAAATAATTCAATAGCTTCTTCTCCAGCTATGCTAAGAAATATATTTGTTTTAATTTCTTCAGACTTCAGATTTTTTTCGGTAGCTTTCATGTAAATTTGGTAGCTTTGTTTGATTTTTTTCCAGTTCGCACTAATATTGCCGTCAAGACTCAACTGACTTGGTTTTCTAGCTTCATCCATATTTAAAAATGTTTTTAAAACTAAGCCTCAATTAGTGGACTTAATGTTCAAAAACTTTCTTTTACGTTATACCAATGAAAATTTTAGAACAAATTGGAAAGACAATTATTAAGCCGACAAGAGTAAAGTTAGAAGGTTTTGGTGGTAACCTAGTAAAGCCAGCAGGTAATGTAAATCTGGAGTGTAAATTTAAAGACATGGAGTCAATAGAAAATTTTTTAATTGTTGACAATATAAATATTCCATTGTTAGGTATAAGCACCTGTATAAAATTAAAATTAGTTAGCAGGGTAGATGAGGTTAAATCTAAATTTAAAGATAAAGAAAGTTTTGTGGACAATTTTAGTGATATTTTTGAAGGAACTGGTAAATTCAAAGACAAATGTACAATTGAAATTTTTGATGATGTTAAACCAGTTGCCAATCCTCCACGTAGGGTACCTCTTGCTATACTTGATGAATTAAAAACTACTCTAGAAAATTTAGAAAAACGCGGTGTCATCACTAAAGTGGAGATACCTACAGGTTGGATTAGCAACTTGGTGATAGTAGAGAAAAAAGATAAAAGTTTAAGACTTTGTTTAGACCCAAAAAAATTAAATCTAGCTATAAAAAGACCAAAAAACGTTTTAATTCCTACTTTGGAAGAAATTCAGTATAAATTATGTGATAAAAATGTGTTCACTGTACTAGATTTTAAGGAAGGATTCTGGCAGGTTGAATTGGATGCAAAGTCTGCTGACCTGTGCACATTTTCAACTCCTTTTGGCTGTTGGAAATTCAATAGACTTCCTTTTGGTTTAAGCATGGCCCCTGAATATTTTCAGTACATTAATAACAAGAATTTTGGTGATATCCCAGGTGTACAAATATATTTTGACGATCTATTAATAGCGGCAAAAAACGAAAACGAACACGATGAAATTTTAAGTAAAGTAATTAATAGAGCAATAAATTTGGGAGTTAAATTTAATAAATCCAAGATTCAATATAAAGCTTTGTCTGTAAAGTATTTAGGGCACATATTTTCCTCTGAGGGTATAAAAATTGATTCAAATAGAGTAAAAGCAATAAATGCCATTGGCATTCCCAAAAACAAAAAGGAATTACAGGGTATTTTAGGCATGGTAAATTTCATGCGACAATTCATTCCAAATTTATCCGAAATATCAGCCCCACTTAGAGAGTTGTTAAAAAATAATGTGTGTTTTGATTGGTTACCGAATCACACTTTAGTTTTAGACAACTTAAAGAGAATTATATCAGAAGCACCAGTTTTAGCAAATTTTAACACTAAAAAAGAAATAACCATACAGGCTGATGCGTCACAATATGGTTTAGGTTGCTGTCTTATGCAAGAAACCAAACCAGTGTTTTATGCATCCAGGTCTTTGAGTAAAAGTGAAATTGGTTTTGCTCAAATTGAGAAGGAATTGTTGGCAATTGTCTTTGCTACAAAGAAATTTCATAACTTTATTTATGGTCGGTTAGTAAATGTGATTACAGACCATAAACCACTGGTTGGCCTTCTTGATAAAAAAGTTTGTGACATAGCCTCATCCAGGTTACAGCGCATGCGTACTAAATTATTTAAGTATAATCTAAGTTTAAAGTATTTGCCTGGCAAATTTATGTACGTTGCAGATCTTTTGTCGAGATCTTTTATTAAAGATGACAATGAAAATGTAGATAACTGGATTACTGAGACAATTCACTCAATTAGTACAGGTTTAAATATAACTGACAGTAAGAGAAAAGAATTTGAAAGTGCTACAGAAAATGACATAATTTTAAATAAATTAAAGAATTATTACTTTAGTGGTTGGCCAAAAAGTATCGAAAATGTAGATGATGATGTTAAATTTTATTTCAAGTTTCAAAATAATGTTTTTGTTGAAGACAATCTTGTATTCTTCAACAACCGAGTAATAGTACCACAAGCTTTAAGGAAATACATATTAAATTTATTACATGAATCACACTTTGGCATTACCAAAACAAAAGACAGAGCTAGACAAATTGTATACTGGCCTGGTCTTATGACAGACATTGAAAATTTAATTACAAAATGTTGTATTTCCGAAAGGTTTGCAAACTCAAATATTAGAGAACCTCTTATTCCCCATGAAATTCCAAATATTCCTTTTAACAAAATAGCTTGTGATTTTATGGATTTTCAAGGTAAAAGTTATCTTGTTATGCAAGATTATTATTCAAAATGGTTAGAAATTCTTCAGGTAAAAAACAAAACTTCTAGTGAAGTTATAAGTAAATTTAAAAGTATATTTGCTACGCATGGAATTCCAAAAACAGTTATTTGTGACAACATGCCATTTAGTTCATTTCAATGTAAACAATTTTCAAACTCCTGGAGTTTTCAAATTATAACGAGTTCACCACATTATCCTCGAAGTAATGGTCAAGCTGAAAGAGCAGTTCAGACCGCTAAATCCATTTTAAAGAAATGTATGTCTACAGGTAATGATTTAGAAGCAGCACTTCTAGAATATAGAAACATGCCTGTTTCAGGTCTTAATATTACTCCTGCCCAAATATTGTTTAGTCGCAGAACACGCACCAAATTACCCATTCATACTAAATTACTAAGACCTAATACTGAAAATGACATTATAACTAAAATCAGGGATAATCAAGTGAAATACAAGAAATATCATGATTTGCACACTAAAGTTCGTTCACTGCCGAACATAGGGGATAACGCGTTGTTAAAAAATAATAATGTATGGGAACCAGCTAAAATATTAGATAAGGGTGATACTCCTCGTTCTTTTATAATTAAAAATGAACGTGGTAATATAATTAGACGTAATTCATATCATTTAAGGCCATCCCAAAATGAGTTTAAGGTAAACACAGGAACACACCTAGATATAGAAACCAAAAACGAACCTGCTATAATCATAGATACTGAACCTGCCACGATCCCAAATATTGAACCTGCCACAATCCCAATTAAAAACGAACTTAATTTAGATAAGCCACTTAGAACTACTTTTGGTCGAATTGTAAGACCACCTAGGAAATTTAATGATTTTGTAACCTATTAGGAAAAGGGAGATGTTGTATATGCATAGGCATAACAATGATCAAGAACCTTGGTTGTAGAAGCAACTGTCAGTATTGAAGTTTCCCGCTGTATTCGTTATGTTCAATTACAAGTTATTATAAATATAAATGTTACAAGTGTACCTGAAGTTTTAATAACATACGAATATACGACAGTTAATATAAACTACACTGTTTAATTCTAACTTCAAAATCTTACATATAGAAAACAAAAGTATGAAACTAAATTTATTAGAGTCTATGGAAATTAACAAATTAAAGGAAAAAAACTGATATTATTCTCAATGACCAAATTGATACCAATAATTCCCCGTTATTAAATTTATTTTAATATATTCAAATAGTTTAGTGTTATATAACTATAAAGATTACAGGGCATTCCCATAATTATTGTTCCTTTAATCTACCCCCAATATTGTACTAAAAATGTTACCTGTTAAAACCATCATTTATATAAATAGTAAATTAATATAAGTTAGTATTCGATCTGAAGAAGCTACTGTGTAGCGTGCAGCAGGGTACAGACAATGCCAAAACAAAAGCCAACCATTGAAGAGTGGATTAGTGGTCACAAGGAACTAAAAATTAACAATAAAAAGGTCTTTTGTCAAGCATGTTCTAAAACTGTAAGTAAAATTATAGTATTTATTTATTGTTAAAAATTACTGATTTTATTTTATGGTTTTGAAGAGATTTCCTTTTTGACTTTAATTGAATTACTTTAAGGTATAAATGAAAATTTTAAGGATGAAATAAAATAAATTGAATAAAATACAACTTTTAATTTCTAAAATATTATTCGACTTTACATTCTACTTTCTCAACCCAATACTGTAATGGTTTCCTTTCAATAAAAAGCCGCCTAGATAGTGTTTTTTTATTTTAATCAATCTAGTATGGGATTATTTTTTTAAAATATAATCTTATACAGGATTGCAAAATTAAGCGGGCAGAAAAAAATTACCTAATCAAATTTTAACCTCAATTTTTTCTTGAACCTCTTAATGAGACCATTTTTTGTTAGAAATATAGCTTGATTTTTTAAGAACATATTTAACCCATTTCTAAATAATATATAGAATTTATTTATGTCTTATACAGGGTGGTCATAAAGTATGGAATAAATTTATTAAAAAAAAATGCTCGAACACGTCGAATTTTTTTTAATGGATGGTAGTATTTTTTATCTTGGAATAAAAGATCCTTTCGTTCCGATTCAAAAAATACCACATTGATGGGTTTATCTTAAACGGTTCTGAACGGTTTAAACCTTCCATGAGAACAGTGTTTAGTAAACACTGTTTACATTTTATTGGGATTTAAATTTAATATGAAATCATTTGATTGCTTTGTTTTATGGGAGGTTTAAAAATTCATATCTCGAGAACCGTTTAAGATAAACCCATCAAAGAATCTTTGATTTTAAGATAAAAAATGCAGGGTGTTCCATTAAAAACAAACTGCCACGCTCTTTTGGGACACCCTATATACCAAAATATCTATTTATACTGTCTGTAAAGTAAGTAGCAGAATATGATAGTAGAATTTTTTAATTTATTGCAGATCATCTGCAAGAAAAAGTACGATGTAACTCAACATTTACAAACAGAACATAAGGAGCTCTTGAATAAGTTAAAAGAAAATAAAAATAGACAACAGACTATTTTAACTTCAATAGCTTCAACTTCTGGTTTAAATGAACAAAAACAATTTAATTTAGACTTGTGTAGTGCTATGGTTAAATCGGATATTCCATTAAATAAATTACAGAATAGCTCTTTTAGACAATTTCTACAGAAATATTGCAAAAAAAACATTCCGGATGAAAGTACTCTTCGTAAAAATTATGTTTCTCCAGTTTATGATGAAACAATGCAGCAAATTAAAAAGAAGATAGCAAATAATTATATATG